TTCAAATAAAAGAACTGGATTAGAAGAGAAATTAATGTAAATCCAAACACTCACTCATCTGATCACTTAAACCACTGTTTCCATGCTGACATAGTTCACAACTTCCACCTGAGCGCAACAGGAAGCCACAGGTGTGATGTGGTCACCTGACACTCCATGAGCAGTCATGTGACTCACAGTACAGAGATAAAAACACAGTCGTAAAGGTCACGCACACACCCTTGTCTGTCCAGAAACCAGGTCAATATTTGTTTTCATTCCTAATCATGATAATTTCCAGGTTTTATCAGTCTGAAATAGGGATGTTCATTTTAACCAGTTAACCGACCATGAAGAATTTTGACCGATTAATACAATCAGTTAAATGGCTTAAAAAGTACTGTATTTATTTATTTTTTAGTAATTTATCAAAATATTTAAAAAGGTTTGCTGTATGGCTGAAATACAATGCGCGTATACAAAATTACTTTTTTAAGATGAAAAAAAAAACAAAACATAAGTCTAATAGGCCTAAGTCGCATTTTATTATTTCATTCAGAAATAGGCCTAATGCCTAAATGTCATGCGCATTTTGATAGTAAAGCCGGTTCTGTAATCAGCAGGAAATCATCATCACGTGCTTTCAGATGGAGCAGAATTTACTACACATAGCCGTAGTTCACTGACAAGTTACGCAAAAAAATTGCAGACGATTTTATTGCACGATTATGAAATCGAAGAAATCGTTTGCGATAATGACAGCTGTTTGCATAGCTTCTCAGTGAACTACAGCTCTGTGTAGTAAATGCTGCTCCACCTGAAAGCATGGGAAAATACCACATTTAATAACATATTTTTCCTCCAAACTCACTTCATAATGTCAGTCGAGTGTTTGAAATAAATCCTTCTGTGAGATGATGTGGCTTCTTACACAGAATAAGGCACGCAACATATTTCATAGTATTTAAGCAGTGATAAAGGCATTGCATTATAAATATACTTTATTTGAATGAAAATTATAATAATAAGAACTCCGATAAACCGTATATTGCCGTAGTCGTGTGTTTATTAGTCACGTTGAATCAATGAAAGCAGTTGAATCTTCTGTTTATTCAGCTGCAGCAATAGGCATTTTCTGGGTTTCTTCTACGGCCGTATTTGGAGTTTCAGGGTGAGAGCGCCCTCTGGCCTTTGGATGGAGATTTACTGTTGATCACAGAACCGTGCTTCACTGAAAGATACGCATGACAATCACAGCTTCTGTCGAATCGCGATCTCGATTCTATTTCGATTTATCGTGCAGCCCTACTAATCCCGACACGAAATGTTTACAAACATTATAATAAACACTGTAAATATAGCTAGGCTATTTTAGTTCCCCTGACTCCACAACAAATCCTTTCAATTAACAGTATTTAGAAAAGGACAAGAATTAAAAATATAAGAAACTATAGCAATATAAACGACAAGCCAAAACGAATTTAGTCTAAAACGAAACTGAAACCAACGCTGTGCCTCTCATTTGACACAAAATCAAATGTTTCCGTATTCGCGATGTATTTGAATGCCAAAATATTATTTATTATGTAGCCTACTTCACTCACGTTCCAATATCCACGTAAAACAAATTGTTTTGCATAACATCATGGCGGTACGGTGATAACGCTTAACGGCACAGATTTTACTACATATTTAAACTGAGCAGTGTGTTTTTTCCATATGTTTGACGGACTATTTTATTATGATAATGAACAGGCTGCATTGTCAAGGTAGCAATGCTTAACTGTGTGAGAGCGTACGGCGCCGGCGCAATCATTTGAATTTTTTCCTTCTAACAATGGAATCAACTAGGCTACTCCTTTTAGTCATATGGATAATCGGAATTGTAAAAGGTTTGCCTTTATTTGTGTACGTTCACAATAAAAACCAATCTTTGTGCTTTTGTAAAATAAGCCTAAAGAAAAATAGGATGCCGCTTTCTAATGTTTGGTTTCCTTTCGTGCAGCACAAAAAAAAACTGAACCTCTGCATACTAGGCTACTTGTTGCACAGTTTTTCTTTCGTTTTCTTAATTTATTATTTAAATATAAATATATTTCTCATATAGGCCTATTTATCATTATATATATATATAGGCCTATAGCCTAGCTTTACTATGTTTTTCTCCACTGGCAGAAGCACTGCAGGTGCGTGATGTGATGGCCATGTGAATCCTCATGTTCTGTTGTTTGCAGCTTTTTGCGCATGTACAATTAATCCCCGGGAAACAAATGTTAGTATTTTTTAACAGGTCACAGACACATATCTTTTCTAATTTAATTAAATTCGAATTTAAAATAATATTGTCGGTTAACGGTTAATAATCGGTTAATGAGCGTCGGTTGTCGGTTAGGAAAAATAACCGAAATGAACATTCCTAGTTTGGAACATAATTAATGACGGCAACTTTATTCAACTTCCATATGCCATTAAAAACAAGCAGATTTTTAAACTATTTTATGCAACTAATACTCGATGAAGCACAGGATGTCAACAGTCATTTCAGAGACAGCACATATATATAACAAAAAGTTTTTTTCTTTGGAATAACATTAGCTGAGGAATCACTCACAATAACTTTGAAGAGCCATGCATTATGAAAAGTAAACTGGGTCAATTTTGATTTCTTTAATTTTTTTATACATTTCTTTTAAGGAACAAGCCTGAACATGCATCACATAAATGTGTTCTAACATTAGTTACAGCCCAACATACATATATAAACACAAACTATTAACAAAAATGATCAAAAACCAAACACAAACATATAACAAACAATACACAAAAGTAGAATATACAGAAAAGAACCTAAAAAAAACATTTCATAATGACAATACGGAACAGTTCATGTAAAATAATACCTAATAATTTAATTTTGATTTATTGTCAACTTGAATACACCTTCAACCACCAAAGATCTACAAATGTCTGACATTTCTTCTTGAAAATCAGACAAAATGTCAACGGAAGAGCATTTAGGATCAGTTCTTTAAGATAAACGGACGGGGCCGGCTGTGTCTAAATTTGCCCCATGAACCGGCGTAGCACTGAGATCTCCAGTTACCCCTAGAGAAATGACCCTGCCGTACGTAAACCAAGTTCAAGAACATCTGTTTAAGGACATCTACCAACGCCGTTCTCAGTGAATATGTTCATGCGGTTCCTGTGATCTAACATGTATGGCATGCTTCTCATTTGAACCCACTGAATTTACCTTCCAGGCATCTGAAGACAAAGAAAGAGTGAGGAGAGGAAGTACATATATTGCAACAATAGCGTCCAAACATCTGCATCAATCCGAACAAACGGTTTATCGTGCATTTACATGCACGCTGATGTTTGTCAGGTGACAAATGATTAGAGGGTCAAATAAACAGGTAACTAAAGAAAACAACTATCAACTTTACATTCAGATAGATTACTTTCCATTTAAATGTGGTCTATTTAGGATTCTCGTCCCCTTACAAAAAGTACCATGGTATTAGTGTGGATTCTAGACACTGTCTACTCAAAAAGTACCTTGGAAAAACCCTGGCATAACAATATAGCACTTACTCAGGGCACTGGTAGAATGGCAGCTCCAAAGTACTTTTTTATAGAAGGGTGGAGAGATTTGCAACTCTCACACCTGGCCATAACCCAAAATATACACACAGTCAGACCATGAAAATCCTATTTCAAATGTGCCTTTCCCATGATATCATACAGAAAGCACCCACGAGATGGTAAAATGACAGGTTTAGTATAGAGAACAGTTAGGAAAGCACTCGATTGGCATGAGCCGATTCGCGCATGCGCAGTAGCGCAGCCGAAGACGCCACAGTAATGAATTGTTTATGCTTTTTTTTTTTTTAATAAATAACTTTTAAAAAAATAAATCGCTGCCTGGATTCCGAACCGACAGTCTGTACCGGGTCCGTTTGAGGAGTTTAGAAGAGGACAAACACAGAGACGACCGACCAACCGCCGTCGCCTTCGAATAGAGCCACCACGGCGACACCCTAGATTTCAGAGCCACGCCTCTCGTCCCGCCCCTACGTCAGCACCTGGCTTTGCCGTGTGAGGGGAAAAAATACAAATAAAATGTACTTCCAGTTTCTCAGTCTCAGGGTTCTTCATATTTTGACTGTGTTTTAAGCTGTCCGACAAATTAGTTAACACACACACACACAGTCAGCAGAGGCGTAGCTGAGGGTTGTAAG